AAACGTTTCGAGTTTCAAAGCCCGGCTTACTTGGCTTCAGCACTGGTCCCAGCCAGCAGCGGCAGCCTGCTGTCATCCATTGTGCAGATCCAGGGGCTGCACCCCCTGGGAGGAGTCTGGCACAGCCCCACAGACCTTCCAGGAGTGTGGGCCCCTGGATCTGCACGCCAAATGACAGGAGGCTGCTTCCTGGGATTGGAGCTGGGCACAGCCCACACCCAGCACTGGGAAGATAGCTGCTGCTGCTGGCGCCAGGCAACAGCAGCAGCCTCCTGTCATCCTGCATGTAGATCTGGAGGCCTGCACCCCGGGAGGGCTGTGGGGCTGAGCTCCGTGGGGCTGGCGGAGCCATGCAGAGTGTAATCCAGTGGCAGGAGATGGGAAAGAGCAAGGGCTGTGCTCCACCAGCCCCCCGGAGCTCAGCCCAGTGGCAGGAGGCAGGGGAGAGCCACTGTCCAGGGCTGCGCTCGGGAGAGTGCACTCCAAGTGGCTCCACCACTGGCTCTCCACTGCCTTCCATGGCCAGACTCAGTTCCATGGGGCTGAGGAGTCTCCAGCCACCAGGCTGTGCTCACCAAGGCTGTGCTCCAAGCAGCTCTGCAGCCCCATGGAGGTAAGCCCAGCGGTGGGAGGCAAAGGAGAACCACTGGCCAGGGCTGCACTCGGACCAAGGGTTGCACTCCAAGTAGCTCCACCACTGACTCTCTGCCATCCCTGTCAGAAAGTGGGTCACTGCATCCTGCACCTGCTGCAGCTTCCAGACCTACACAGAAGACATTTCAATAGACAAGACTTAAAGTTATGAAGCCACAGATGATCGTGGCCAGATATGAATCTGAAAGAAGACTGCAGCCTTCTCACTAGCTGAAGTTGGTGAAAGGCACTCCTAGCCCCTGCTGCCATCTGAAGATCTAGGTGCAAAATAGGATCCAGGAATATTCCAATGCTGTGAATCTGAGTAACAAGAGGAGGTTGACCTCCATCACTATCAGGTGTCCCAATCCCCCTCAATTCAAGCAGTTTGCCCATGAGCATCACCTCTGGCTTGCCTAGATTCAGTTTCAATTGGTTCACCCACATCCAATCCCGAAATGCAGCCAGGAAAAGGACAGAGACTCTGGAGACTGGGAAAGGAAAGAGAGAGACTCTGGAGACTCAGTCAGAAGAGAAGGAAAAATAGATCTGGGTACCATCAGCCTAGTGATGGCACCTTAGTCCATATCTTCACACAATCTCAATCAGCAGCCTCATGTACACTTTGAACATAAGCCAGAAATGAGAGATGGGCAGGGTTGGATCTGGAAGGGTTGGGAGAGCGCAGCGATGCAGTAGCACCCATCCCCGCCTCCCCTTGGACTCTTGGTGCATCCAAAGTTTAAAACCAACTGCCTCACAGTGACAGCAGCATTTTTATTCAGGCAGCAGTGAGGGATTTACTTGGCTTCAAGGGTTATTATAATCTACCTAATTCCTTCTAAACTCTTCATTCAACAGGTGATAACAATGCTCTTTCCTTTTTTTAACAATCCACAAATCAAGCAACCTTTTTTTCTGTAATTCTGCTGTTTGTTATCTGTTCCTCCTTGTGCAGCTCCTATTTCACAGCCACGCAGACTTTTTTTTTTTACTTTAGCTAAAAATATTATTTCAGGTGTGGAAACAATAACAGATAAACATTAAGTGAGGTATAGAAATAATTTCAATGAAGCATTGGATGTACTATCAAGAATCTCAAGGAGGCCAGATTTTGTTTTATTTATCTGAAAGATATGTACATTTAATTCTAATGGCAACAGGACTGAGGAAACATCATCTTTGGATTACTTTTTGCCTAGCTGGTTGTGCTGTCATACATTTTATATAATAGAGAAAATGAATTCACATTCCAATAAAGTCATATTTATTTTTGCTTTGATCTTGAACTGAATAATATAGCCCTCAACCCCTAGCATATTAATGAAGCCTCTAGTTTCTTTTTACCCAGAGAAAAATGTTCATTGTTTTATGTGATGATGCACCACACCATCTGCACCCCTCTTTTCATAATCCTAGATTTGCCCATGGAGATGGGAGGTTTGCTGGGGTACACTGATGCTCTTACTGGTACTGACATGTCTGGCATGCCTGGCTGGTGAGTTTTACTAACCTCAGCAGGATTGAACTGATTGCCAGATTTGGGTTCAGGAAGGAAATTTCCCAGGCCAGACTGGCGATAAATGCTTTTATTTGGTTTGGTGATGGGGTTGTCTATTTGTTTGTCTGCTTGCTTTTCTCTGAATACAGGGCAGGGTTCACTTCCTAGGATCATCTAGCCATATATTACCTAACAAATTCCCTATCTTGGCAACTGCCCAAGACACTGGTGGCATCATGGTCTCTCTTACTTTCTCCCTGTGGCACACTGTCATTTTTTGAAGGCCTTGCTTTTTTTTTTTTGTCTTTAAAGATCCTAAATTGCTATTGGCCAGTGCCTTTGGGCTGTGATGTGTAGGAAAGGTCAGAGGGGATGTTCTTGTGGACTGTTTTGGACTAAGTATCTATTACATGGTTGCCTGCAAGCACAAGGGACTGGACTTGATGACCTAGGTAGTCCTTTCCAGTCTTATGTTCCATGCAGAATCTTTGTTTTCAGTTGCCAAAAGGAGATTGTTCTAGGTTACTGTTCACAATTCAGCAATAATTAAGCAGCACCTCTACCAGTTGCAGTGCTGATCACATGACAATCTGTATTAATGCTCCGGCAGTATTTTCTGAAAATGAATAACTGCTGTTGACACTGTAGGTAAGGATTAAAATGGGGAAAATAACAGCCAAGTTCTTTGGAGTTTGCATAAGCCTCTGCTGACTAGTCATTCTCAACTGCTTTTGGGATCAATATCAAATACTGATGGACAGTGTCAAGCCAATGTCAGCACTGTGGATTAATTCTGAGCTCATTATAATGAAGTATAAAGGTCAGAGAGAACTAGCCTTAACTTTTATGGGTCAAACGGGTATTGGAACAGATAAAAACAAAGCAGGTTACAGAGCGTCTGAGCTCTCCTAACTATTATTGGAAAGCTACAGCCATCATTAGCTTGCTAAAAATAAAATGATTCTAAAAGGATTAAAACATTCTACAAGAAAGAATTATTAACACCTAGTGACTTCTTTAATACAATGTAGTCCATAATCTCCTTTGTAAGTGTAATTCAGGCAAAGCCAGACACTTATTAGCAACAAAGGGCAAATTAATTTTCATTGCTACATAAAAAAAAGAAACCTATAGATTTCTGTTTAGCTGCCAAACAAATGTTGTCATAATTAAGGCCTGAAAAATGATTGTTAGCCCACATCAGTGGTTTTTAAAACAGCAGTAAACATTTAAGAGGGATTTGATTTGGAGCACCTGTACAATGTTGTACATTAAATATAAACAAAATATAATGTAATATAACCTGATCTGTTTGCTGTTAATTATTACTGTTTTCATCACTTTGGATCTCAGATTTGCAATTTATCAATAGTAAATACAGGTTCTCCTTATTTATGTCCCAGAATTAGTTATCATCAGGCAGACACTTTCAGTGTGGTGGAATCCTATTTACTGACAGTCAGCCATGCTTTAGGCTCATGTCTGCTCCCTGTAGCCATATGCAGAGATTCTGGCTCCTTCTTTACTGCTAGAGCTGGGAAAATTGCTTTTTGCTCTGGGGTGCAGTAGCCCTAGTGCAGCTACTGTCATAAGGAAGAGAAGAGCTGGAATAGTCTTTTATCATGTGGTGTAACCCCCCCAAAACAAAACAAAACAAAACAAAAACCCCTCAGCCAAACAAAAAAACAAGCCCACCTAACATGATGTCAGGGAAAAGGGTACTGATAAATGTTTTTTCCCCTCATCCAGGTGTTGGGAATGGGAGGAATTTTTGACCCAGTCTTCAGCCTTTGGTTGACAGCTTTTCATATCTAGCAACAAAGTTTGAGGCATGGGATCTCCCTGGATGCCATTCAGTGGGGAGTAGCTGAATATAGAATATCTCATTTCTAGGCTGGCATTTTGGGGAGGAGTGCTACTTCCCTATACCTCTTCCAACACGCCTACTGCCACAAGTGTGCCATGGATTCTGTATGCGGGATGGGGAGAAGGTTTGGCAGCTACTTACTTATGTCATAACTGCCTTTGAGGATTAGGCTGGAGGATCTGGCTAGATAACTGCAGTCCAAAGCCTGGTGGGGTAGGGGAGCTATTTTCAGCTGCACACTACACACAAAGGAAGAGCCAACATTTGGCCAGTGCATACAGACCTTTTTCATCTCTCGTGAATCTCGTGTTTCAGGCACTTTGTTTCTATGGGCACTTTGTGTCTACTTACAGTTCAACACTACAGCAGCCTTCAGTTATAATAAAAATGTACTGATAGTAGATCGTAAATATGCACACAGGCTCAGCCATGGATTTGTAGAGGGTGTGGGATTGTGCTCGTCTAAATATATTTCTGATTCTTAATTGGGAATGGCTGAATAATATATTTGCAACAAAATACTTTGAGCTATCAGATAGTTCTTTATTTTCCCATAGTCAGCAACTACTGAGGGCCCCTCAAGGTACGGTACAATATGTGAGAAAGCTATAGCTCTGAACACACCATCCCTGTGTACAATTGCTAGTATACTCTGTTAGCAGTAGCATGATCAGCTGTTTGTAATGGAAAGGAAAAGGCAGAAAAAAATGCAGGATTTTAAATTTGTTATTTATTTTTAAATTAAATTATTAAAACCCTTTATTAAGAATCAACTAATGGTTTGCCCTTGTATATCCCACTCAAATGTTGTTTGCAATGAACTAGTAAAATTTTTATGAGAGCTTTCCTTTGGAATGGATTTACCGGAATTATTTTATACAGTCCTTGACTTGTAAAAAAACAACAACCCTAGAAGTACTTTATTTCAGAAGTAATGCCACAACAAACATGCTGCTTTTTAACAGAGTATACAAAGGTGATACAAAAAGAAAATATTACCTGCTTGTGCAGCTGTTATTAGAGCTGTGTTCCCTTCATTGTCTTGCCAGTTTACATCAAGATGAGGGCACTGTGCTAAGGCTATTACAATATCCACAAAACCTTGGTAGCAGGCAACAATAAGGCCATTCTGCAAATAATAAAATAGTAGGTAGTTAAGAATAAGCAAACTCAGAGCAAGGCATCAATGAAATACTGTATTGATGAAACAGCATAAGTTGCACAATATATAAGTGTAGAGCCAGTACAATAAGGCAATTTGGATTAGGCGTTCTGAGTTTCTACAAAGTTTGGTATATGTTGTTACATCTGGAGGTCTTATTCAGGCCAACATTTTTAGGGCCACAGAAATCCTAGAGCTACTCATACTACAAGGAGTGCTCTCTGCAGCATGTCCCAAGAGTGCATAACACTGCGGGGGGCGGAGAACTGATGAGAGTATAACTGTGTCCTCCAAAAGCCAGCAGTGAAAGAATGTACTGTAGGCACATTCTTCTAAAGAAGTGATTTAGAAGAATCCTAAGCACCCTAAGATCCTTTCAAGGACGATGCAGGGTGCCTTACAATGTGAATCATGTCTGTACCCTTAGCAGTACTAACAAGGCAAACCCAGAGATTTCAAATAGAAACCCAGTGTGTCAAAAACATTCTGACCTGTTCTGATCTTTCTGCACTTTTTGCAAAGCAGGGTTGGCTATTTTTCTGTAGTCAGAAAACAAGTGGAAACTATGAACTGGCATTTTTGAGGAGTGCCTTGAGTCTATCAAAGGTTATATCAAGTTTATCAATAGTATTTTGCTTCTAAAAATGTTGAGAGGCATTCCTTTAAAAGCAACAGTGGGCAAAATATGGCCTGTGAGCCGGATCCAGCCCATGGAGCAATCTTACCTGACCCATAATGGGTACTTTGACCCCGCCCAGCCCAGGTGTGGGGGCAGCCCAGGCTGTGGTACATACAGCAAGTTCTGCTGCCCCTGGGTGTGCAATGGGGCTGAGGTGGCACAGCAGCCACACTCCATTTCTCAGCAGCCACAGCAGTGGTGGCTCCCTACAGCTGCTGCTGCTGGACTCAGGCCCATCTGCCCAGCACCCACCACTGGGGGCAGGATCCGTGCAGGCAGGGCATGCAGTTGGGCAGCTGGGACGGGGTGTGAGCCAGCGAAGAGCAGCATCTGGGAGCAAAACAGGCAGATGGGGCTGGGAAGACCCCAAGATCTTGGGGTGGTGACAGTGTGGGGCCGTGGCCAAGTCGTGATCCACTGCCTGCAACAGGCACCCGGGTAGGAGAGTCCGGGGAGTGGATAGTGTCTCCATCCCAGCCTGGCCCCACACTGTTACCACCCCATGATCCCAACCCCATATGCAGCTCTCTGCCTGGCCACGTGCCCTACCCACACAGCTCTTGGCCCTGGACTGGGATACAACATGCGGCCAGGCAGGGAGCTGCATCCAGGGCTGGGATCTTGAGGCAGTGACATCACAGGGCTGGGGCAGAGCCATGATCCATTCCCTGAATACCCCTGCCTGCAGAGCCCATGCCAATCACGGGCACGCGGGCAGCAGATCATGGCTTGGGCCTGCTCCTGGCCTCCCATTGTCACTGCCCCGCGACCCTGCCCTGTGATCCTGGCTTCACCCACCCATCCTGCTCCCGAACATTGCTCCCCATGTGCCCATGTCCCCCATCCAACATAGGAGTTTTGGTGACTCGTTGTACAAGGGACAGAGCTGACACAGCCCATGACAGCCCAACAAAACCCCCTATGTAGCGCATGGGTCTAAATAGTTGTTCACTCTTCCTCTAAAGGTATTGTTGTGTGTAACATGCATTACTGACATAAATGACAAATGTCAACGTTAAGTCTATTTGAAGAGTTGGTGGATTACATTTGGGTTGTTATTCTTTTAATTTAAATGGCTTAATTTTTAAAAAACCCACAACTGCTGATAATATATATTCTAAAAATACTAAATGATCTCAAACAACCCTAAATGACATGGAAAATGTAACCCATAGTGCTCCCTTACCTACCATTTACAAACAGATAGGCAAGAGAAGCAAGGCTTTTTGTGGTTTCTTTTATTGGACCAATTGTTTAGTTGGGAGATTGTCAGACATGTTTTTGGGCCTCAAGTGCCCTTCCTCAGGTTGTAGGCAATATTTTTTCTAGTGTAGCTAGCTCATAAGCACACTTTTCAATTATTCAGCAATCAGAAGACAACAGAAATTCAGAGACATTTCTGCAACCACAAAGACTAATATTAAAAGATTGACTAGTGGGCTAAGAAAATTGTAAGGTTTTGACTTTAATTCAGGAAAGTCAGATTTAACGTGTCTATTGCACACTACCCTCTCTGTCTTTATAGTTACTACAATGTGATGGGATGTACATGATATTCTCACATGGTAGTAGACAATGCATCATGCCATTGGGCAAATGATTATTTTATAAATATGCTCCAGCTATATGCAACCATATAAATATTTTGTATCCAAATCATAGTAAGTTAGCAGCTGTTATTACACAGCAGGCTGAACACCACAAGTTCCAAGAACATGGAGCAATATTTCATTTGGCCATTTAAAAAGAATGTTTTTGTCCAGTGGGTAGTTTTAAGTTCATAATACCTGTGGCTAATTTGAAATATTTAAAATATCATTTTGCAACTAACTTTTATCCTACTATAAATAAATAGATTGCTTTAAAAAGTCCCAACTGAATGTTTTTGAGGACAACTGAAAGTTATGTGAAATCTCCAGGAGGAATGAGGTAGGAATTGCACCTGACCAACCAAATTTGACCTCAGCATTGTTTCACTCAAAAGCAAGGAAAAACTGCTCCCATGAAATATAAAAATAGTCTTGCCATTGATTAAATGGAACCAATGGACTTAATCCAAAACATTTCACTTGCCCATTAAAATTTTTTTAAAGTCTCATTTTTTCAGGATTACTTTTATAGCCCACTATGAATGCATTCACACTACCCCGCTGAATGCAAAATAAGAGAAAGGAGGTTTGGAGGGTGTAAGGTCAAAGGTTCTTCTGAGCCTAGTGACTAATGGGAAGTGCATGGTTAACGTGTGCCAGTTTCTTCAGTCAGTGGCATCCAAGGGCATGATGTGGTCAGTTTTTTCTTTCCCAACTTGAACAGGCAGGATTTTATTTACTGGTGCATCAGCCGGGGGTCATCCTTGGCACCACCACACCTCCAGAAAAAGGCCACATCTCCAATGCCATAACAAGCTGCCTTAATCACTCTGATACCATGCCCTACAACCAAAAGGGCTTAGTGAAGTTCAGTGGCTTCTCCCACTACCATTATAAGTACTTAGGAGTGCTGGCTGTGATCTCAGAAAAATCTAACATCTCAACAACAACAGGATGGCAACAAATAGTGCTCACTTCTCTGGTCCATTTTGCCTGGATAGAAAGTACCAGAGGAGACTTGTTAAATAATTTATGACCACCAAATTATTAGAAAAATCGAAGCTAACTGGATTTTAAAAAATGAACCCAACAGCATGGCAAACACAAACCTCATAATTTTTTTTTTCTGTTCAAAGGGTCAGCATAGTTCCACTTGACTCCTGTCTGGTCCCTACATAATCTGAGGGTTGTCAACATTAGCAGGGTCTCCCTTAACTCCAGCTGGTTAATGGTCAAAAAGCCCAAGGAAAATGCCCTTATAGTAATCCCTTGGGCTACAATCCTTTAGGGACAGGGCAAGCAGAGTAATGGAGTGAAGTAAATACAGGTTTCCCTCATTTTATACAGGTTCTGTATGTGTGAATTCACTCTTATGTGATGACACTTTTTATACCAAAAATTTGTTATATGCAAGGTAAATTCACTATTATGCGATTGGTGTGGTGGAAACCCACAGTCAGCTGCTTTGTGCAGCGCATTGTGGAAGTGACATACAACAAAATATAGCCTATGTGGATCTGTGCTCCTCACTTGTTGTCTGCGACATGCGTTTCTGTAGTCGCCATTCCCATCATGGTAACATTCATCACCACCCTGTGCTTGTGTGTACTGTCTGCTGTTGGTGAATACCAAAAATGTCTTGTAAAAGTGGTAGAAATGGGTCTGGGGGTCAGTATAGTCGAGGTCTTGGAACGTATCCTTATTTGTTACATTGTAAAGTGGGTTCCCTTTATGCAAATTTGAGTTATGCACTGTTTTCCAGGAACACACGTACAGCATAAAGCAAGGGAAGCCTGTACTGACCATTAATGTGTATTTTCTTTCTTTGAACAAAGTGAAACCAGTAGCAGGGACACCACCTGATCTATAGATGCTTTTCATGAATTACAAATCTCTGAAGTTATACATTTTTCATAGCTATTGGTCCAAATTAGCTTGTAAAGGTCTATAGAGACCATCTCTAATCTTTTTATTTTTTATTTTTTTACTAAAAAAACAATACTGAATCTATTCAAATATAAGGTTTTCCCCCCAGTCACCATGGGGAAAAAAACTCTTCATCTTATAACTGCATACAAGGAAACTACGTTAAATACATTGTCTATCATTAAACTGCTGCCAAAAAACAGCATGTGCTCAGTAACAGAACTCAACTCTGCAGTTGAGTAAATGCAGCCAACACTGAGGATAGGTTAGTGTAGCTCAACTGAATAAAATATATGCTAGTGTCTATTGCATGCAGTCTCCCTCAACACCAACTCTTTTTCAAGTCAGGTGATCACTACATGGAATACATTTTTATATTCTTTTCACTCCCACAGCTGAGCTGCACCTTTCTTTCCCATTTCCAGTCATTGCTGTTTGTTTACTTGCCTTAAATGTCTGGCAAAGGTCACCAAGTGGGGTCCCAAACAGTTCATCCAGCATCCCTCAATCACCCCCTCTCTCAGCCTGTCATATGTGATTAGTGTGGTCACACCTCCATGAGGTGGAGCTGGACCATGTTGCCCTGCACCTCATCTGCATATACATTTTTGGAGATCCCAGGACTCGTGGCAAGAACACCCATTTCTTGTCATGAGTGTGGGGGCACTCATTAGCATGTGGATCCTTTGTGTGTGTGTGTGGGGGGGGTGTATCTGGAGTACAACACATACTGAACAGTGCTGAGCTGTGGGGTCAGCATGGCTTGAAACACT